GCCTTAGAGAAGTGACTAACGTACTGTGATACCTAAATATGGCATAATGAAATTGCTTTATGGCGGAGCCATCAGAGTGAAGACAGGGCAGCTCAAATCCATGAACAAGAATGGGACTTGTCCCTTGAAAAAGTAAACTGAGCAGCTGCTGGTTGTTATCAAAAATATTTTTGAAAGACAAAAAAGGAGAAGTGATAGGTTTTTTCGACAAACCTTGGTCAGTAGTGAGAAACAAAGTCTATTTCTATGATGCTACAAGTTAATAAAGTCAACTCTATGGATTTATTGTTATTACCAATAAATTTGCCGGTTAAAATCATGACAGTGCATAAGGTCCCCTATTCTGAATATATTACAAAAAAAGGTTTTAATCCTTTTCGACATCCTCTATTTTATGTACGAATGTCTCGAGGGTTACTCGTTTTTTAAAGTGTATCAAAATGGTCCTTAATTTGAAAAATTGATTCAATTGAGTCCTTTCCGTAAGTTGGCTGGAGGCGTAAAAAAATTGATGGGGGAGTGGATGCTGAGATGACGAACGAACGCTCGTCCACCAGCGAACGAAAGTTCAGGCCACCAGCCGAATCGAACGTCGTCCACCAGAGAACGAACGCTCGTCGACACTCTTACTGCTGTGACACGTCGTTCCACAGAAGACCTGTGGTCGTGGAGCGCGTCGGTCGTCGCGATGGACTAGCGTTCGTCGCTGAGGACGACGCAGCGTGTGGGAGTCGATGAGCAGTTGCGTTCGTCAGTATTCAGCATCCACTCATCAATTTTTTAACGCCGTCCAGCCAACATTAACGGAAAGGACTCAATTGATATCAATTTTCAAATTAAGGACCATTTTGATACACTTTAGAAAACGAGTACCATCTGAGACATTCGTACCTAAATAGAGATGTCGAAAAGGATTAAACCTACAAAAAACCATCATGCTTCTCAGAAACCATTGACTACACTGAATCAATGGTACATCATTTCAATCAAATTCTCAAATCTTAACTGCTAAAACAAAAGAAGATCTTCTCAAACAAGACCTTACCAAAAGTATGCCAAATGCAAATCAGAAAAAAAAGTACACTCCAGCTACATAAAATAAACGGCAGATGTATACTATTTTAAGAAAGACAAACATGTATTTTGTTTGTCACCCCTCTCATCCTTCAATGAAAAGGGCTGCTCAAAATATTTCACATACCTGATTCAATATGGGTAGACTGGTCCAGGAAGAAGAGGCTGCAGAGGGTAATCAACATTCATTTCAGAAACATTGAAAACAAACACGAAGGGTATGTTGGGCAGAAAATTAAGAGCAGAGTTAAAATGGAAAGATGTTGATTTTAATTCATTGTAGCTTGGCAGAAGGTGGAAACTCATTTTCAAAGTACTCATCACAAAAAATTGCAACCTCCGCTTTGTTCTTTCTCTAGAAACATTTCAAACGTCCAGTCACTTTTTTCATTTCACACTCCTCTATTACTGACTATTAACCACTATAAACCTAACATATTATTTATTTAGTCAAAAGCTCAGACAACTCCAATGGGATGTGCGACCATGGTACTCCCTCTGGTCCACAATGGCTGCACTTTAAGGCATTGCACATCTATTAAGAGCAACAATAGCTACATCACCTTTTTAAACAATTTTACTGAAATAGCTTCGCTCTATCAATAAATTATTATTTTAATAAGAAATAGAAACCAATTAATTTGAAGAAAAGAATTAATACTTCATTGAAATGTGAGAACATAAGTTAATTTAAACTTTTTTTTTAAGTGGCTAAAATGCAGTCATTCTAACACGCACACCCTCACATTATAAAAAAAATGGGTCTATAAATAGGAGTGCGTGAGGACACTGAAAACACAATAGACACCATTAAAAGCTTTTAATCAATTAAAAAACCACTAGAAGGAGTTTAATTTCATTCACACTGTGACATTATAAAAATATTTACATTGCATCTACAGTCAAGTATAGAAAATTTGTTGAGCTTTATAGTAACTATTATAAGATCATCTCTGCTTGATTGAAAGTATAAAAATCTTAGTGGCATGGAAATAAAACACGGTTAAAGACTAAAACACAAGCAAAGTCAGTACCTCCAGCAGACATTCCAGCAACCAATCCCAAAGCTTCCAGAAGTCCAATGGCGACAAAACGCAATTTCGGAATTGCCATCATCTCATCGGTTACTATTCTAGCCCGGTACCGAATATACAAGATGGAGAAATATATAACAACATACCTACGTTACACAAAAACTACAACTGTTCAACGCACTAAGAAATCCCCAAAAAGACAGATTCTCCTAGAGTTAAAACAGCAAACAAATGCATTTACAAGCAGCGACAAAGAGGTTTACCCAAAAGTTATGAACTGGGCGAGAAAAAAAGGGTATTCTTTCATGGGAACAAGGGCCAATTTGTAAAGCACGCGATTGGCTACCGCTGTTGTAACGGTGACAGTGGAGCTCAATAAGACGAGGTTGGTGCCACTTCCCGATGAACTTGCGTTTGAAGCACGAATTCTGAGTGCGGTTGGGTGGTGGTGGACATGGTTGCGGTTGAATCGAGCGTTGCCGGAAAAGTGCAACGGTAGCTTCGAAGACAGTGACATTGAAACGAGAGGCTGCAGCTTCGGATTGCAGAGCGCGAAACTGCAACGGAACGACGACGTTGAATAGAATGCCATGCCAAACAGTGTTGTTCTTACTTTCAACCAACTTGAGTCATTTCTGCTAAGTAAAATAAATGCTCCTAGTATATATATTTTTTATAGTAATTATTGGATTATTGTTGGATGAAATTTGTGAAAATATTTATAAAACAACTTCACTCTATCCTTTTTATCTATGTAAATTTCACTGAAAAATAATAAAAAGTGAAGTTTTCTTCAAAATAGTGCTGTTAAAATTATTATTCGATAAAATACAATAGTATATTAAATTTTTAATAGTAAAACACAAGATCTTCAATTTTTAAGTGATAGCAATATCTTTACTTTTATAGTAATACATTTGAGGAATTTTATTATGAGATTTTAATTTACTTTTTTGTTGCTGAATCAAATGTATTACATCACTCTTAAAAACTATAAATTTTTACTCTAAATAAAGTTCTTCGTAATTATATTTTCTGTTGATTATTGGTATTTGAAAAAAAATCATTTTTTTATTACTGGATCTTAAGGTTTTATTTAGATGCTGAGTTTTAAATTTTATGCATATCAATATCATATTTAAATAAGATGGTTTTATAAAGTTTAAGTTTTAAATTTAAGAACCAGATACTATCTTTATAATAAAGATATGCTAGTAGATGAAAATGATAGTAATTTAAAATGTAAGATTTAAGGAGGGTATTGTAGTATTCGTTTATGTATTTTCATTTTGCAAGCTAGTGTTTTAGTACTGTTAACATATATAATAACGATTTTCTATAACTGAATTTTATTAAAAAAAGATATTTAAATATATTGTATTATTATTAAAAACCATTATAAATAAATAATATTTTTAACACATAAGTTGTGTATCAAATTTATACTATGATACGCGGTTATTTTAAACTAATTGATGATATATTGAAAATTAATTTAGTAATATGTGCGAAAAATATATATTTAAAGAAATAAATTGTTAGTAAAATTAAATATATAAGTAGAATATCTGCTTAAAGTCTTTTTATTTAAAAAAATATCTTAAAACCATTTTCGTTTTAGATAACTATTCTTGTTTATATTTAAAAAAAAAAGGGTCACAATATACTATGTCCTTAACAATTTCTTAGTACCTGCATTTCCGATCTATTAGTCGTCACTGTTTTCTTTTAGTTTAATTTTCATATGCAATTAAAAAATAACTACATTACCAATTTGTTTTAAAAAACTTAAATGCGATTTTTGACTAGTAATTATAAAAACTAACAAAGTTTTCACATATAAGTATGTTTTCGAAAATAAAATAAAAGTGGTATTTTTAATTGGAAAAAAATTCAATTTAGTAAACGTATGTATGTATTATCTTTTATAATATATTTATTTATGTTGACAAAAGGAATGTATAATCTCTTATAATAAATGGTATTGATTGATATAAACAAAGTTTTGACTTATTCTAAACAGATAATATAATAGCCTTTCAAGAAAAAACAAAACATTAAAAAATATAAAGAATATGAGAGAAAGCAAACTGAATGCAGGAAGATTTCTGATATATTTAATAACGAACCAAAAAATGTTTAGCTTGAGTTTCATCATCTGATCAACAAAATTATCCTGTACTTTCTTATATACCTGACTTGAATTTATCATAATTCTTTTTCTTGAAAAAACTATAAAGGACTAAACAAATACTTTCGTTTTCAATTTTATATAAAAGAAAGCACACAATTTTAAGGATGACATTTTAATCTAACTTCGATATTTGAAAAGGTAAATAATCAGTTTTATTCATTTCTCCAATCGAGAAAAGATTAAATAACCTTACTATATTTTTCCGTTGAATGAAAAGAACAATTTAAGATGATAATAGTATACAAAGAATTAATGAATTAAAAGATAATTAAATAGGAAATGTAATCTAAGATTTTCAATTAATTTCCAAGGTTATTTATTAGATATTTTTCCACAATTTTAATTGATATAAAAACATAGTAGTTACAAATATTCAACATAGAATTTGTTGCAACGTTTAACCAATTTAAATCAATACTTATTTTTTTCCTCCATATTAGGAAACTTTAATATTAAACAACAATTAGTAGTAGTAATCGTAATAAATAAAATAATTCATACAAAACAAAATATTTATATTCTTTTGTTATTTTATAATATTTCAAATGCTAAGATTTGAGGAAAATGGAAATAGAAGAAACGAAATGAGAAATTTAATTTTATTATGAATTTTTTTCATTACTATATTTCATTTCTAAATAAGTAGAAATAATCACAAAAATGAACGCGTATATTATATAAAATACAAGAAACATTCTAATTATGGTATTCAAGAATAAAATACCAACACTAATCGTGAATCAATAATATATTTTAAGTTTTCCTTAAATCAAATTATACACAACTATCTACATTATTCAACTTTATGCAAAATAATGTTTTTAACACATACACACGTGGAATTCCCAATATTAAAATTTCTACTAGCAAAAAAAATACAGAACAAAAATATAGTTATAAAGCAAAAATAAGAAATAAAAAGTAAAACAGACAAAGAATGTGGTGCTTATCTTCCAACTAATAATAAATTTTAGGAATGATGGAAACATTGAGGAGATCTACTTGTCTTTGTGGAAAAATGAGTCACCCGTTGGTGCCAAAGGCACACTGAACAGGTTATTGAAAAACCGCCGAAGCATTTCCCATTGCAAATATAGAACTGTACAGCATATTAACATGATATAATGTTGAAAATCTTGTCAACCCCCAGTAAAAGCTTTTAAATAGCTTGTAACCTAAAATTTAATACAGTTTGATTTCGTCCCCCACCCCTCCCAAAAAAGAAAGAAACAAAAAACTTGTCAACCAAATCCGAATCCCTCGTTTGCTTCATGAATGGCAAGCAGTAACCTCTTTTCCAAATGTTGTTTAGAAGGATATTCTGGCAAATCTAATTGATTGAAACTGCAAATAAAAGACTTCGTGTTACTACTAAAGTCAAGACGTTAAAATAATCGATCCATCAAGTGATTAAATATAGTTCAGAACTCTTAAAAAAATGCCTGATTGAAGCTACAATAAAATGAAAAGTTGAAAAAAGGTACCAAGTATGTGCAGAAGGCAAGTGATCAGAGCTGCCATATGCCTTATGTATCTGGAACCTCTGGGAACCTGAAATTCCTTGAAGAGCGCTAAAACCCTCTAAAGGCACCTGAAATTTTGGTAGCGAAAATAAGACCCCTTAATTATATAATGCATGATAAATAAACAAAACAAGGAACCATCATAATTTGATTATTATAAGAATGATATTGGATACTGTCTTTTGATGTAAACAAGTATAGATTAGATCAAGGTGTATATTGACAGGAACAAAACAATCAGCGCATCTTGTCTCCATCACAACTCAAATCACTAAATTAATAGTTCTCATGAAAACAAAGTCAACTACTTATACTTCTCCCTTAAGTTGTCTGTTGGAAACTTATCCACAGGAAACTTGATTGGGAATGGCAATTGCTGCATTAAAAGGTAAAGCCAATTGTGAATCAAAAACTTAATTAATTCTGAAATGTGTATGTTGAATTAGGAGGAGATAATATTAATTATTGTGTCTATTGAGATATCGTAAGGATACAAAGTTTTGTCACCAATTATTGTATTTATTTTCTGTGGTGGTCGAATTCTATAAACGTATCCTCTTGTATTATTTAGACTAAGAACTTGAATCATAATTTCCTCCATATATAGAAAATCTGAGGAGTGTTTTTTCACTAAAGCATTTCCACTGAAAAACAAGTATTCAACATTCTCATTATTGTGAGACATGATTCTCGATGTTTTGAAAAAAATTCAACGCACAGAAACTGGATTTGATTAAATGTTGCTAATATTTAATTGAATTCATCTTTTGCATCCAAAAACCAAGGTATTGAGAAGGAAAGAAAATTAATCCAATGTAAAGGCACATGCAGCAAAGCGGCCATGATTCAAGCTGGAAAATCACTGAAAATTGTTATTGTAAACAAGACGTAAAGATCATAAGGTTTAAAGCTCAAAACCGATACCTTGGATGTGCCTGTCACAAACTGCAGCAATCTAGCTTTGTCTTCTTTGCTGAAACTTTGAACAACTTCCCAAAACCATTGTATAACTGGTGATGCGCCACTGTACCCAGAATATTCTGTATTTGCTCTCAAGTCATCCACTGAAATGAAATGTAGAAAAGATTGTTAAATTTTCTTTTCCAGAATTTGAACACTATTAAAGATAGCCAGCATTGAGAGAAAATAAATGTGTGGCATCAATAAAGGTGATGTATACTGAAAAAGACGCACAATCAATATCAGGAAGTCCATTGATCAATAATTCCAGCTCTTTGTCATTGAATATAGATATCAACTCCCTGGGAATCAATTCATTGAACCCTTCCAAGAAAGCATTTATTTGAGGACGAATAGCAGTAGTCAATCGATGCTCAACAACCAAATCAACATATTGGTGCTTATTCTCCTCTGTAACTTTTATATTCCGTCCACCAGGAATCAGCTCATAATCAGTTACCTATACAAAGCTCATTAAAATTAGATCCTAGATAATGTGCAAGTTTAATACATAAACAAAATCATCTCAATAGTTTTGAAATAAAGTCAGAACCTCTGTTCGCTCATACAAAATCAACTTTTCCTCATCTGCATCAATGCTAAAAGTAAGATCCAGAACATCACTGATATCATTCTGCAGTTATACCATAAACATGAGACAATTTTCACAACGAATACAAAAGTATATTCCAAAGACTGAGAAGGCTAAAGGAAAAACTACAAAAGGACACTTGCCTCAAGCATCCATTTCAAATTTCTGAAATAGGCAGGGTCAATAGCTTCAATATCATGGTATGTAACTTTGACCCCTAGGATGTGCTTATAGAATGACCGAGTAAAATGGACATCCAAGAGCTGACCATCAAATAAAGCTTTTCCAACCTGGATAGTGTAGAAAGGGATAAGTAAAAGGTATATGCGACCACTAAACGCATACATTAAGAACATTTGTAAGAACTCAC